CATACCTGCAAAACAATGAAGAGAAAAGATTAACCCGAAGGATCCATACAACAAACAACTATCGGGGTGCAAAATAAGAATGCCTAAGTACAACAACTAAGGGCCCTCGGCTAGTACCTCCGGCCCCTCGAAGGGTCTGTCCAGCTTGGGGTACTTGTCATCTGCCTCCCCAATGTATCGGTACCGTTGGAACCCGAGGGCAAGCAAGTCATCCTCGAGAGTACATTCTTTGATCGTCACGATCTTCTTCTTGCCCTCCGGGATCTTGGCGAGTTTCAGGCCATCCTTCTCTAGGGCGATACTCCCCACCTTCTCGTGGCGCCGAAAGCGGTCCCGTAGCTCCCTCGGGAAGGGGTTCTCGGCCAACCGGACATAGCACCATTTGTCTTTCCAGCCCTTGTTGGACGAGGGTGCCTCGGTGAACAACTTGAACTTCGCTATCTGCTGCAAATTGGCGAAGCCCTCGACATTCGCGTGCCCCCCACGGCACAAGTTGAAGCTTTGGAAGAAGAGGTCCAAGCTTGGGGTAACATCCCTCGTCCGGCACAGGTGCAGAAAGCCAGCAATATATGAATGGTTGTTGGGGCTAAGTTGGCAAGGGACAAGTCCAACGAACCTGAGGTACTCCCGGAGAAATGGGTGCAGGGGGAACCGGAGGCCCATTGACACCTGACAGGATGTGGACGGCAATACATCCCTCGGGTGGCCGGGACAGCAAATCATCGACGCCTGGCTCCACCACTTCGGCCGAAGGCCCAACGTGCAGCTGCGTGATGTACAAGTCCGCCTTGTCCGCCTTCGACTTGATATCGAGGGCCTCGGTATTTAGCTAGGTATACCCCTCGGGCATTTCAACCGGCCCCCCAGCACCAGCGGCAACACCTTTCTTCTTGGGGGCAGCCCTCCTCGACTTCATCTTCCTCTTCTTACCGGGGGCCATCCTCATAGGCGTCGGGTCCAACGGCCTGGAGGTACTAGGCTCACCACTATCATTCCGAGGGGGTGCAACAGCAACGGTAACCGTCATCGCTTCCTTTTGAGCTTCGTCCTCCGCCACCTGGAACACAAGGGCTAATTCTTCATCTTCGCACTTCTATTCGAAGCCCTCGGCTTCCATTTCAGCAACAAGGGCCTTCTGCAACTCCAAGGCTACGGCTTCGTCATCGGCAACCGAGGGCACACTGCTAGTTGACTCTACATCAGAAGCAACCTCGTCCTCAACCGAGGGCTCCCATGACATATTCTGCGAGTCACTTTGGGACGACATCCTTGGTGTACTTAAGCTAAGACTCCTAAACCGAGGGTTCTCTACAAAGCCCTAACACCTAATCTAAGGCCAGGGAGCAAAAGCTTACGAAGAACGGTGAGGAACGAAGGAAGAACTGACCTCTAGAAGTTGCTGTGATCGAGGGTGATTTTCTCTCTCTAGAAAATTTTCGGCAGAGCTTCGCTTAGACAAATGATCGCGCAAGAAGAAATGACTCTGGCTCCGGGGTATTTATAGGCCCCGGAATCCGGGCTTGGGCCTGAAAACCGGGCCCCCGACAAAAGGTCATCATTACACGCCGCGTCTTCGCCCAACCAGTGACGCCGCCCACGGGCAGCCAACCATCACGCGCCACGTGGCAACCCCCCCCCCCCCCCTCCAACGGCCATATCCTGACGTTACATATTCCAGCGGCTATATTTCCAACGGCTATATTCTGGGAGCCCCCGGGCTTTTTACTTCACTCCGGGTTGCGCCCCACACAGTACATAGCAGATGCCTTCGGGATCAAACCTTCAGAAGCCCAAGGCTTCATATCAAGCACCCCTCGGGGAATCCCCCTCAACGCATTAATTTTCAGGAAGCCCCCGGCGAATACGCCTTCATCAAACAAGGAGCCCCGTTTACTAAACAAATACCCCCTCCGGTACATCGCCTTCAACACCTCATGACCGAAGTGCCCCCGGCACACAAACAGCGGAGCCCCCAGGTAACCCCCCTTCATCAATTAATCAACAAGCAGGGAACCCCCCGGTAACACCTCAACTACTACCATCATTCACTACGCCCTCGATCCCCATATCGAGGGACCCGCCTTCGGCACCTCCCAGGACATCAACAACAAGCCTCCGGCTAATCAACACAGGAGCCCTCAGAACAAGGAGAGCCTTCGGCATTACCACTATTCTCCATTTTGAACCAAGGTTTCACATTTTCGATTCATCGTTGGGGGAATTCGGTGCACTCTTTTTCCCTCATTAGGATTTTTTCCAACAGGGTTTTTCCTAATGAGGTTTTTAACGAGGCATCCCCCCAAAATGAAATGAAAAGCGTCAACCTTCGGCCCACAACAGCAACGCAACTACTCTACTCCTTTTCACCACTTTGCAAGTGCCTCAAGGAGTGGGGGACTGGAGGACCCCCTCGGGGAAAATCACAAAATTCACAAACATGACCCCTCAAGTCCCGACATGTGGGTAACTGAGGGACTGCCTTCGGCAGGGACATACAAACAACAAACCTCTCACCAGCCTCACTGATTACAACGGGACAACATCAAAGGACAAGCACAAATTACTCCTTTTCCCTCAAGTACCTTTCGGCAAAAGGAGTGAGGGACTCCTGATGGAGTATATGGCCCGGGAACCCCCGCCCCACAGACTCCTACTACTTCAGTAAAGGCCCAACAGGTCCAGAAGGCCCAACAGGCCCAAATCCCGGCGCCCAGAGTACCAAGCAGCCCACAAGGCGCACCAGGGATGCCTTCGGCCCCCTAGCCGAAGGCTCTCACTCTCACAGGAGGGTCAGGACAGCAAAACGAAGTTACTGGGAAAAACGGCAAAAATCAGTAGCCCTCGGCACCAGAGGGGTCCCCAGTACTCGGAGCCCTCGGCTAGTCCTCTACAGCCGAGGGCACCCTGCCCGACATGATATCCACACCACATGCATACAGATCACCGTACCCTGTACAAACGTCCCTTCCAACAGCCGCATTAAATGCGGCCACATGCGGTTGTCAGCGCCAACCAGATGAGGTGACCTCTCGGCCAATGGACGCTTGACACGTGTCCCTGTCCGGCATTTATTGTTACTATAAATAACACCCATTTTCCCCATTTGTAACCAAGTCATAAACGCTCCACACTTCGTAATATACTTTCTCTCTCTCACTTATTTGCTCTGACTTCTCTCTCACTTATTTGCTCTGACTTCTCTCTAAGTTACTCCCCGCAGTAACCCCCGGATAGATACCCCCGGGTACACCTATCCATCAAGGGGGTCTGATTATTTTTTCTTTGATGGGATAATTTGTTATTTGTTCTTATATTATTTGAATCCTTGATGACCAAACAATATTTTTACATTAATTGTAATAAGAATAACCACTCTGTACTTTTTAGGTCTCTTAAAAAAATAAAAGTTTCTTTAAATAGTACTGGTAAGAAAATCCAAAGATTCATTGAAGAAGCTTTAGTACGTGTAAAGCACACACTTCTGTATCGTGGATGACACCAGAGGTTGTACAGTCTGGCGTAGTTCGAAGTCATTCCAATTTATTTTCCAAATTCACTTGAATCACTTCTTCTACATTAGTCATTAACAATAAATTTGTACGACATGTTAACATATTTTCCCGGTCATATATAGAGTTTTTTCAACTACTGCATTATTAGGGTGCTAACTTCTTGATTATACTTCAATGAAGGGTGCATATGAAAGGGGTGGTTTTTGAGGTGTTCTAGGCTTCTAGCTAGGAAAGCTAAAGCTATTCTCGAAGATGAGAGTTTCCCAGCAGTGTGACGATCCTAGCATTAGACATCCAGACTTCAACCAGGTAATTAACTAATTACTCCCTCTGTACCTGAATTATCTTCAAACTTTCCTTTTTCGTCCGTCCCAAAATTATCTCCTTTTTGGCAAAGAATTTGTGGTTCACAATCATTCTTACACATTTCTCTCTCCTCTGCACAACTCTCCACCACACAAAATCCACTATCTTAATAAGTGTGCCCAGCCGAAATGGGAGATAAAACAGGGACGGAGGGAGTATCAAATTTTGTGTATTTCTGCAAAGCATTGGACCTCCAAACACTAACCAGTTCCTTGCTGCTTATTTATACTTTTTCTTCAAATTTGCTTGAGTAGAAGATCTTGCTAATGCACTTTGATGATAACTTTGGTTAACAATGTCATGTTGCTCTACCACTCCAGATCCACTATCAATTCAAGAAAAGCTTTATAAATGGATCTTTTATGGATTCTTAACTTTATTGATTTATGTTAAGAATCACTCTAAATGTGCTTCATCCCTTTTAAAATGTTTTCCCAAATTGAAATTGAGACCTCATTCCCACCTATCCGGTCTTGATCTAGGCCTTGAACTTATACTCCGATCCCAGCTCTGCTTAAAAAATTGGCTGCTCCCGATATCACAATCATGTCCACCTCTACTTAGGATGTGGACCATAAGAAATGCGTCATTTCTTGAAAAACCATCTCAATCGTCACTCAATTTCCAAAATATATAGGTCTCAATAATGGGTAGGGCATAACATAACAAATAAAAGGAGTACTCATAAATGTTACTCCCTCCATCCCCTTTTAAATGTCCCGGAAAAGGGTGACACGAGTTTTAAGAAAAGTAGATTTGTGTGGTTGATATTAATAGATAAAGTAAGAATAAAGTAAGAATGATTTTGAGCCACACAAACTTTACCAAATAAACTATGGGACAATTAAATAGGGACATCCCAATATGGTAAAATGGGACATTTAAATGGGGATCGAGGGAGTATGTTGTATGTACTCACTTTGAACTCCAAAACAATTCACAATTAATGAACTCCCAAACAATTCACAATTAATGAACTCCCAAACAATTCACAATTACTGTTAGTTTGATTTTAAGCATCAAAATAATTAGAAGAGTAATGGAGCCGAGCCGGGTGAGCCGTTAAGCAAGCCAGGCCAGCCGCTGCTAATGGAGCCGGGATCTTATTTGGTTTAGCTTGTGCAGTGCACGAGTAATTGTTGGAAATGATGAGTGTCCTCGTGTAACTTCTTTTGTAGTTTTGAGGAAGGTCTAATATTCGTGGTATGCATATTGGATAGTGAAAGAAATCCGAACTACTAAAAGACTTCGTTTCGCTTATAAGGAGTTCTCAACAATGTGTAACTTGTGTGCATATTAATTAACTTCTAATATTTGTAAACCTTAATAGGGAAAAAATCGCATTTGTATTTAAGCTTTTTTAGAGGCATTCGTTCATGGGGCTTACAAGTTGGACTGGAATTATTTTACTAGTATAAAATTCGAAAATTTAGTTTTATACTGTTTGATACTTTAATTAAGACTTTTGGGAAAAAACAAGAATGTAACAGTGGACAACAGACAATATCTTTAAGTTAATTGCACTAAAAACGGCACGAAAATTCATCGCAAGCATAGTACAATCTATTAACAAAAGATTAATTCTTCAAGCTAAACCAAATAAGATACCGGCTCCATTAGCAGCGGCTGGTCTGGCTTGCTTAACGGCTCACCCGGCTCAGCTTCTAGACGTGCAAAAGCGGGCCATTTTGGACATACTCCGTGAAAGCCAAAGCGACCAAACCCACCATAGCGAACCGTCCGTTCCAAATCTCAGCGTCGGCGGAGAAGAACCCCTTTGACTTTGACTCCGCCGTCACGCCCTGAAGCAGAGGAATCAGAGATGCAAACGTGAGCAACACACTCGTCCCGATAAACAGCGCGTCGCCGCCGTTCGCGATCTGGTTGAACAGATCCCCGCCATTAGCCAGCTCCACGCCGATAGCCGAAACGAACCCCACCATGGCTAGCCGGCCGTTGATTCTCTCCGGCCCGGGACCGCTGAAGGAGAACACTTTCTTCCAATCGGTGCTGGGTTTCGGTGCCGGAGGAGGAGGAGGGGGTGAGGGGATGCTCTCGCCGTCCTGAAACGTTTAAATCCATGTTAGGGCGTGTTTGGTTTCACAAAACAGAAACTAATTATTGAAATCCCACACCGAAATTTATTAGCAAGATCGAATTTTTACCTCGGACATGCTCTTGACCCGGAGATTAGAGCTCCGGCGAAGGCGGGGCAAGCAGCTAGCTGGGGCGAACTGGGCCAGCCCACTTCTGCTGGCCAATGGGCTTCCCAAGATTGACTGCATCACAACCGTTGAAGCCATTTCTTTCCTCTGAGATTTTTTTACTTTGAAAGGGAAAAATCAAAAAGAGGGAAATTAAACGGTTAGAAATGTTGGTCAGATACTTTCAGAGAGTGAAGAAGGCATAGATATAGGGGGTGAAGTGAAGGGTGGATGGGTGGGTGGGTATATTTGAGTCCACGTAGAGTGGTTTTGGGCCGCAGAATCGCGTGGACTGAAATGAAAGTGGGGGCCAGAGAATCTGCAAGGGAGCGTGGCCTTCTTGGCATCTCAGGAACATCCTAGAATCGATATGAGAAATAGACAAAAAAACACATTTCAAGCCATAGAAAAAAATTACTCATAGAGCATTGGGTTTTACGTGATGGAATTTGTTGCCAAATTATAAACACGGATTAGAGCTACACTTTCTATTTGTTGGATTGTGATTATAATTCAATTTACATCCTCTCAACGTACCATTCGTTTGGGATTGGAGGCCCTCAGAGATGGGGTGTAATCTTTTATTTAAGGAAATAATGATAAATTTTACTTGGTAGGTGTCACTACATGGATCACAACCGCATTGGTTATTTGTTTGTCAGCATGTAATTAAAATTCAATTTATGTAGAAAAATTGTTATAAATCAAAGGAAATATGTTTATCTATTTTAAAATAGGAGTGTCATGTTTTTATTTCCTAAATATGACTAATTATTGCTAGGTTTTGACAATACCAGACTTTAAACATGGAAGTATTTTTCAATTTTTGTAGTAATTACTCTTATTCAGGAAATAAAAACATGACAGTATTATTTTTGAATTCCCAACATTTGTAGTCCTATTTCGAGAATTTTCCAATTATATACTACATTTTTTGTAGTAATTACTCTTATTCAAGAAATAAAAACATGACAGTACTATTTTTGAATTCCCAGCCCGAGGGGTCACACGATTGAAGGCTTGGTGAGACTACACTTAGAAGTATTTTCTAAGTCCTAACTATAGCTGGGCCCTCGGTCATACATCTAGCGAAGGGTGCCTAACTACCGAAGGCTATGACTGTATTCAAACACTTAGAAGAATTCTCTAAGTCCTAAGCACCTCACCTCTGGCCATCGCACGAAGGCTACACGGAACCAGAAGGGAAGATCAACCGGGGGCCAACAGATGAACACACACTTGGAAATATTCCTAAGTCCTGAACATTGCGCCCCCGGTAAAACGTTAAAGTAACTAAAGGTTACTAGTAACCGAGGGCTACAAGAAGCACCGCAATTGGAAGAAAATATTCTAAGTCCTAAACATACATTCAAAGGAACAAAGGCACACATTCATATACAAAAGCCTGAAGGCTAACATTCATCCATCAATCATCAAAAGGAAAGTCAGCGTAACTATTACATACGGGCCAAAGCCGAGGGGTGACAAAGGTTCATTACAAAGATTTTTCAAAACTCCGCTAAGTACAAGTTAAGATTTATCAACAACTTCATCGACGGTCCCTGCGGCAGGTTTGGAGGAGATTTCTTCTTCGACGGCATTGTCCCCGACGGTAGCACCATCATCATCGCCGCTCATCATCATAGAATCATGAATCACCGGGCGCTCATCGCCCTCGGGGAGGGGGACTCTCACATCTGGCTGCAACGGGGGGAGGCCATACACCGAGGGGTTAAACTCCTCCAGGGAGGTGCCGAAATGCCGGGCGAGCCTCCGGTAAACCAGATACTGGGTGAAGAACTCGCCGGCTTGATAATAGGTGTCGCCCCTCTCGTTCATCCAGTCGAGCCCGGGGCCTTTCACCCACTCCTCGATCGAGGCCTTCACCACGGAAGCCACCCACTCCCTCTGGCCCTCGGCCTTCCAACCCTCGGAGATGAACCCAGCGATGGCCTCTTCTCGGGCTTTGACGACAGCTTCGGCCTTGGCATTTTCGGCGTCCTCAGCCGCTTGCTTCCTCTCCTCGGCCGCAACCCTCTCGACCTCTGCCTTGCCCTCGGCCTTGTCGTCATCTCTGGCCTTCTGCAGCTTCAGCTCCGCTTGCCGAAGGGCGTCCTCCATCTTGCACACCGCCCGGAGGGAAGCGTCCTTGTCATGGATTAGCTCCTTCACGGACTCCTCTAGCTCGGCCTTATGACGGCGCCAGTCCTCGCGCCTTCGGGCCTGCTCACCGAGGGCTATACACGCCTGTTAAACAACGGACAATGGGTTCAGACGGGCGTTGAGAATATACTAAGTGTTAAGATAAAAGCAAAGTAAAAATACTTACAGCCAGAGATGATCGAAGGGCCTTGCTCTCGAGGGCATCGTCGTCGTAGGTGGAGAGAGCTTGCTTATCCATCATCGAGGTAATCCCCCTCACGAAAGACATCGGTTCAGCTGAACCGTGCAACACAGATGCCCCCGGGGCGAGGGAGAGCTGAAGTATTATTTTTGAATTCCCAACATTTGTAGTCCTATTTCGAGAATTTTCCAATTATATACTACATTTTTTGTAGTAATTACTCTTATTCAGGAAATAAAAACATGACAGTACTATTTTTGAATTCCCAACCCGAGGGGTCACACGATTGAAGGCTTGGTGAGACTACACTTAGAAGTATTTTCTAAGTACTAACTATAGTTGGGCCCTCGGTCATACATCTAGCGAAGGGTGCCTAACTACCGAAGGCTATGACTGTATTCAAACACTTAGAAGAATTCTCTAAGTCCTAAGCACCTCACCTCCGGCCATCGCACGAAGGCTACACGGAACCAGAAGGGAAGATCAGCCGGGGGCCAACATTTGTAGTCCTACTTCGAGAATTTTCCATGTATATACTCTTATTCGAGAATTTTCCATTCATATATGGGGTGTCATCCTTTTTTTATTAATTCATCGAATCATTCTCAACATTGTTGGTTGGATAATTTGTTCCCGCTATTCCAAGAATGCTGCACATTTGTTTTTACAGGTTGATCAATGGTTCCTTTTGCACACTAAATCAATCAATAAAAAAGTATATGAAATCAATTGAAGAATGTTACATATTCGGTGCCCACGTTTTGTGAACAACTAAAACGCCACCAACTTGAGTTAGAGTCGTTCGGGCCTCTTAGAAGGACAATCAAACATTAATATGATAAAATTGGATCATAAAAAAATGTGATAACCGGAATCTCTTTTTGAAAAGGTGTACAAAGCTAGATATTTTAGAGACGGAAACTTTTTGACTGCTAAATGGGACAATAAAATCAATAATCCTTCTTTTATCTGGTAGAGCATTTATCATACACAGGACTTAATCAGGCAAGGATATTATTGGAGAGTTGGAAATGATTTGGCCATAAATATATGGACTGAACCGTGGCTTCCAGATAAAAGTCAACCCGGAGTTATTTCAAATCCGGTTTTGGGACTTGAGAATGCGAGCGTCGAAAACCTTCTGTGCGCAGCGAAGAAAGAGTGGGATATTGATCTTCTCAAGGACATTTTCCAGCCGCGCGATGTCAATCTCATCAAAGGGATTCCACTCAGCTTCAGGTCAGTGCCAGATAAGTTGTGTTGGCGCAGGGAGAGCTCTGGACGGTTTTCCGTCCGCAGCTGCTACAGGGCACTGGTCGGCGAGGCTAAAAGGGATGGATGGACCGGATGGACTCATATGTGGTGGTGGAAGATACCTCCTAAGGTTAAGCACTTTTTTTGGCAGATGTGTTGCGGCTTGTTACCCACGAAGCCCAATTTGAAGAATCGGTTTGTTAATTGTGTGGACTGCTGTGGGCTTTGTGGAATGCAAGTAGAGTCGTTGCACCACCTGTTCATTTCTTGCCCGATTGCCATGGAAGCTTGGGGATCAATTAACTGGAGCTGGTCGTCTTCTTTTGGCCAGACATTCATGGATCAGATTCAGACAGAATTACAAGCTAAAAGAGAGGTGGATTTATACAGGTTAGTTTGGGTTGTTGGGGGCTGTGGTGTGAGAGGAATAACAGAGTTTGGAGTGGTGTTAAATCTGACCCAAAGCACATTTTAGTGAAGACCCGGGTGTATGTGGAGAGTTCGGGTTTGGCGCAGAAAGATGGGGGCGGACAAAGCAACGATGAGAGGATTGCTTCTTCGGTGTGGAGTAGACCTTCTTTCGGCGGACTGAAATTAAATGTGGATGCGGCTGTTAGAGATAATTTGTGCGGCCTTGGTTGGTTAATTAGAGATGGTTCCGGGGATTTTATTGCAGGGACTTCTAAGTCTTGGTAGGGTAGCTTATCTCCCTTGGAAGCTGAGCTGATATGTATTCGGGAAGCTTTGAGCTGGGTCAAAGATAATGGTTGGGATCTTGTGGATGTGGAATCGGATTCCTTGGGGGCTGTTTCGGAGATTATTCAGGAGTCGAACAGCGCTTTAGCGGGGATTATTGGTGGTGATATTCGAGAGATTAAATCGAGTTTTAATGAAATCTCTTTTTCTCATGTAAAACGATCAGCGAACAGGGCGGCTCATGAATTGACTAGAGCTGCATGTTCTTTGTCTGATTGTGTTTGTTGGATTGGTTCTCCTCCTAGATTTATTTCTCATGTACTAAACATTGGATTCTATGAATGAAAGTTAATACTTTTTCTTTCAAAAAAAATGTGTGCTCAATTTTTTTTTTTTTGATAAAATTGGATCTTAATATGTGTAGCAGTAATGAAGAAAATGTTTCGAAATATAGTGTGCTCAATTTTATCTCTACACTCTAGTAATATGAAATAAAAAAATGTTTGCTTTCCCCGCAAGTTGTTCATATGTAAAAGCCTAAGAGGTAATATAAGAGGGGTTTCCCCCGACAAATGGAACAAAAATAATGGCTTAACGATACTTTAATTTGAATTAAGCAAAAGGTTCAATTCAATTTTGTTGACTTCCCTATGTTTTCACATAGGTGCCAATTGAGCTACCCAATTCTCTAAGTTAATCTAGCCCGACTTGATTCAAGATTTGTACTCAGGTTTGATTCAAATCAAACTCAAACTATATACAAATTTGAATCAAAAAGCTCTCAAGTTATTTGATTATGGGTTATTGTTGAATATTTTAGATTCATATATATGTCATTTACATCTTTAATCAGTAGAATGGATCCATACATAAAATTTATATTCGAGATGATATCTATTAAAATATCTTAGACATTCATAGAT